CAGTCTCTTCCTACTGATAAATAACATTAAAACAAAATTTGAACCAACAGTAAAGCATTTACTGTGATTGATGATTTCCAAGGAAAGTGAACACTTCTGGCTATTCTCAAATTTCTACTATGTTATATTCCAACTCAATTTTAAAAAGTGAACAAGCCAAATGGCTTTGTATCCCTTCACACTACATATAAAAGTCACCAGGAACTTCACCTACCTGACAAGTTGGCACATTTTTATTTAAAAATTTCATCCTTTTTTTTAACTGTCATGATTAAAGCAATGGCCTCCAGTTCTAGACTCACTCATTAGTCATTACATGCATTTGCCTTACAATAATGTGTTTAAGACCAATGGATCACAAGCTGAAGGTTTTATATAAAGTGTAGGTTCAACAAAACTTATTCAGAATCTTAACAACTTCCATTATACAACACTATACAATACTCAATAATAGAAATTGATGGGAAAGTATTGCCAGACTTCAATAATGAATTAGATGAAATTTAACCAACTACAATTAACTATGCATTCATGTTCTTCAATGTTTAAAAAAAATATATATATGTGTTCTATAGGGGCATTAATTCTTAATGTTAATAGGAGCTATACTTTTGGGATACATGTTTTTTGGGGTACGTTCTTCAATGTATGTATTTTTCTTGGAGATATTCACTCTTGATAGTCGCTCATTATTAGCACTATCTGTTCTAGGGAGTATTAGTTTTGGGGGGAATTTGCTCTTTGAGGTCTCAGTTCTTGAGGGTCTCTGTTCTTAGGGTCTCTGTTCTTAGGGTCTCTGTTCTTGGGGTCTCTGTTCATCAGGGTATCTGCTTTTGGTAGTCTCTGTTTCTGGCCCTATCTGTTCTTGGAAGTATCTGTTCTTGGGGGTTTCTGTTCTTGGGGTATCTGGTCCTAGGGGTATCTACCTTTGGTAGTCTGTGATCCTGGCCCTATCTGTTCTTGGGAGTATCTGTTTTTGGGGGTATCTGTTCTTGGGGTCTCTGGTCCTAGGGGTATCTACCTTTGGTAGTCTGTGATCCTGGCCCTATCTGTTCTTGGGAGTATCTGTTTTTGGGGGTATCTGTTCTTGGGTGTATCTGTTCATGGGAGTCTGTTCTTGGGGGTCTCTGTTCTTGGAGGGGTCTATGTTCTTGGGAGTATCTGTTCTTGGATCTACCTGTTCTTGGGAGTATCTGTTCTTGGGGGTTTCTGCTCTTGGGGTCTCTGGTCCTAGGGGTATCTACCTTTGGTAGTCTGTGATCCTGGCCCTATCTGTTCTTGGGAGTATCTGTTTTTGGGGGTATCTGTTCTTGGGAGTATCTGTTCATGGGAGTCTGTTCTTGGGGGTCTCTGTTCTTGGAGGGGTCTATGTTCTTGGGAGTATCTGTTCTTGGATCTACCTGTTCTTGGGAGTATCTGTTCTTGGATCTACCTGTTCTTGAGAGTATCTAATCTTGGAGATATGTGCTGTCTGGGATCTCTGCTCTTGGAGGTCTCTCAGGTATCTATTCTTGGATTATATATTTCTGGTTGTATATGTTCTTTAAGTGTGAATATCTTTTATTTGGTATCTATTCTTGGGAGTAACTATCTTTAGCATTGTCTGTTCTTTCAGGTATCTGCTCCTAGAGGGGTGTGTCTCTGTTTTAGGGAGTACCTATTTTTGGAGGTAATTGTTCTTGGATTATATGTTATAGGATGTATATGTTCTTTAAAAGTATTTTTCTATGGATGTTCTTTTGGTATGCACTAAGAGTATACTATAAAGGTTATTTAAGTTTTTGGGCATAATTCTTCATCAAGATTTATGATATCTAAGCAGTCAGGGTAACAGATTTCAGAGCATATTTTTCATGGTTTACATGCTCACATTGGAATATTTTGGGAGCAGAAAGGAAGAGTTGGAAATGTTTAAATCAAACACTAATTTGAATTGCCCCACAGATACAGAAACAGCTGTTACTACTTGATATGCTATTCTGATCTGCAATGATCTATAAACAATCTAGTATACTACTGGAGAAAACCTACACGTCTCTGAGGGAACATCTCATGTTGTCTGATAGGAGACCATCCTATCAACATAAATCAGGTCAATTATATTCAACCAACACATGGATAATTTTCAAAATCTTCATTACAAATTACCTTTTTAAGCACAACCCTGGTGATTTATTTATTACATTTGACACCAAGATGTGAAGTTCAAAATTTGAATCTTCAACAAATAACTAAAGAAACTAAAATCTGGGACACATGTTGGTTTCTGGAGGTGTTGGAATCCCTATTACAATCTAAATAGTTCTGATTTCAATAGCACTACAAATCCTTTGTAAAAACAAACAGTTTGAATAAAGAGAATGACTAAGTCAGCAGGTAGGAACATATCTCAGTCTTATATTTCAAGTAGTTCATTCATACCGTATAGATAGTATTTAAAACAACTTATGACCAACACCAGATAATACACACACCGAACATTTAATCTCCGTTAATTCTGATTCTACTGATGGCCTCACCGGCCTGTGTGAGCGAGTCAAGGAGGGCCGAGATTGTATGCCCCAGGTATTATGTATGGTTATAAGTTTCATGCTCAGACTCATAGGTGTAAGCTGATTTGTTAGGCAAATACTATTTAACATATGACACAGTTACCCTAGCTAAAAGCAAGCGAAGCATGCAATATATGTATACTTGTGTCCGTAGGCCTACTACTGCATATATCTACCACAAATAGTCTCAAGTGTAGATCTACTCAACTGTCAAACAATTCTATCATTGTCCCTGGCAGGTGTCTTTTTAGTTGTGGTGTTAAGTTATTCAGTGAATCAATATGTACTTTGACATTCACTAGTGTTTGGTACTTAAAAGTGGCAACTGTCTTGTCATTTATATTTCAATATGTATAATTATAATGGCTATCTGTCACTAAATCAGACACTCAGTACAGTTACTAACCATCTCCACGGAATACTCGTGGTCAATAACATTCAGAGCTCAGAAAATTTTGAGTTGATTTGTTCTATTTGTGTGGAATTTGAAATTTTTTCAGGGGGTTGTCATCTGACAGTAACAAATTCTAGTCAGAGAGGTGATAAATGTGGCTGCATGTTCAAGCATTTAGTTTCCACTCAATGCTATTCAAATAAAAACACTAGCTTCATTAGTGCATGCATTTTTGAAAAGGTTAAATGTCCGAACGTACTATTATCAGTTTTTTTGTCTGTACTTTTATCAATTTTTCAATCTAATACAAGAACATGAAGTCATACAATTGGTATGGGATGATTTTGCATTTCTCAATTACCATGGTAGCAAACTTGATATTTCTGTTGACACTTGTTGATTTCCCCACAGTATAAAACTGATAAACAAGCAGATCAGTGCAAAAGTATCTAAAAAGAGGTAACATCTTATCAATAACAGGACTGGTGTCATAAAAAATAGAACAAACAACTATCAAGTGTATTGGAAGGTGTAAAACAAAGTTCAAAAATTTTCATTCACACATTACTAGAGGCCAGATAGCTATGTAAACAGTGTTGGTAGAGAGTTCTGAGGCCCTGGGTTGGAGTCCTACTCTTTCCCTAGAGTACTCTTCACATTTCAATTATGAAATAAATATGTAATCTTTGTTAAGTAACTCATGCATGTGTGTGTGTGTGTGTGTGTGTGTGTGTGGAGGGGGGGGGTTCTTATCAGTTGACGATTTGGAAAGTTTTAAGCCTGGTGAATGGTACAAGTATCCGTGTGCAAATACACTGCATATCAGAAATACAATTATACTCATAGCTATCACCTTTGGACACCTGTTAATTGTATGATAAGTGTTCAGTTGACAGATGGGAAGTGAATCTACTGGCTGAACAGATTCCTGCACATGAACACATAGCCACAATATTTTTATAAAAAAAAGAACTGATAGTTTCAAAGATTTTGTCATTTTAAAGGTGTTTGAATTACATAGATTGCACTGTTCATATAGGTTGTATAATTCATCATATTACAAGTAGGGACTATCTACTGTGACAGACATTTTTAATAGCTTTCTGGCTATCTCTAGTTTTCTAGGTCCTGCCAGATTGAGCCTGTGTCCTAGGTGAGCCAACCATTCCTTGTTATAGGGGTTATAACCGGCCACCTTACTATACAATTCTATTGATCCTGGTCAGCGATTCTGATTTGCTTGGCAATTTGACAAGTTCAATAGCTCCTGGTCTATGCATGGAAGGATTCCAATGTACTCAGCATATCTTGGTTAGTCGTATGACACTATTCACAGTAGTCAGCTAAATCAGCTATGATTGTCTCTTAAGAACATTTAATATGAGACAGCAAGAACATGCAAGCTTTAAATGATTCCTTACGATAAAAGAAATTGTCCTTCTCATCACACCATCTGGTTCTTTGGGTATAGATTGGTGAAAATGCTTCCACTAGCTATCACATAACTACTTCTATAACAACAACTTCAGTCTACTCTTAAGTACTACACATGTTATAGATTTCAGAGACATAATGATTTTTATGGCATTACACAGCAATTGCTAATCTTGTCATGACAAGTATTTCTTAATACTCTTTCCTTTAAAACAAGCAAATGATGAATGTAAAAAAATGTTAGTGCTGCAACGCTGATGATCTTATCATACTTGTGTCTCTGTTTTCATGCAGTTCAACTGCTCCACCTCAATATAATACAATTGTCATTATCTAGGCATAGCCTCATCACACCGCAGCCAAAACAAGAATAAATACACATGAAGCAGTGCTGAGATATGAATCAGATCAAAGAGTCTACATCTTCATTTACCCCAGATAGAAGCTGACCTAAATGCACTAACATAAACCAATATTACCAGGGTACTACATACCACAACAATCAGTGTAGTCCTAGTTTCTATTTATATACTGTGGTACTCAAGCAGGCAGCACATGAAAGACATAAATTCATGAAAAAATAAATTTATAGAGGAAAGTGTAAAGTTTAAAATTCTTACCTTGAATTGTTCGTTTGAAAAATGCTTTGCATGCCTCACAAGAAGAAACGCCATAATGATATCCTGATGCTATATCTCCACATACTAAACATATACGTTTAGGTCCATCCATACTTTCTGGGTCTGAAGAGAAAGAACTGGATATAAAATCCATTTTACCATTGTCTATACTGCATGGGGATATGTCTCCACTGTTATCCCCACTGTTTCCGTCAGATCCATAATCATCTACATTGTAGTCTGCAAACACATCTCTACCAAAACTCTCATCCAGGGATGGTTGTGTGCACCTACTCAGGCCAAGAGGGCTCCCAGGTTCACATTTTACACTCGATTCGACATCCATCTTGATCGCCTTATAAAGTTATTATGTGATTAGTTCAAACTCCAAAAACAAAAGTCGTATTTGCTTGGAGTGCTTTGAATTGCAGTCAGAGCAATGAGTTTTATCCAAATTCTTCGTCAAGATGTTGAGTCAGCAACCCAGATGTAATCAAACAGCCAAGTCCTATTTGGAGACAAAACAAAAAACAAGAAATATTAGAACCAAAAATCTCCAGGAAAATGTCAAAGATTCATGAAAATCAATATATCGGATGACGTCTTGCAAATCAGTTTTTAAAATCATAGTGTTTTATTTTCTCTCCTGTTCAACACTATATCCATAATGTTTAAAATTTCCAGTGAAATCTGTTGTTGTTGTTGTTGTATAAGATGGAATCAAAATACTGGTGGCGGCTACAACAAGCCAGGTACATATATTGAGCTGCAGCACTGACTAGAAGCAGAAGCAGTTCTACAGTAATTCACTGCTGAGGAGAACCATGGTAAATTCCGCTGGCAGTATTCTAGTGATCTTGCAAGGTGGCTACATCAATCATACCCAATATATGCCCCCAGCACACTAAATCATCTCACATACAATTATTTGTGCTCATCCATCCCATTAGTAATCAGCTAATAGGTTTCTATCAATAATCCCACATTCACACCTACCTGTGCACCACAATTACTCGGCGATTATCATAAGGTTGGTTAACTCTTATACAATTACTAGTCTGATATTAAGAAAGCTATTCTAGAACCGACATTTAACCGAGTCCACTAGAACTGCAAACATCCTTAACTGCTCTTCAATAATTAATGCCAATAAATTTTGCATAGGTAGTTCAATTAATCTTGGTTTACCAGTCTGAATGTGCAATTAGCAATAAGATCTCTATTACTCCCTACTTTAACATCATACCTGTTATATCCAGTGTATCATCGTGTGGTTTATACACCGGTCTTCACATAACACAAACCAAAGGATTTGGACAGCGATCTTTATGTTTTATACAGCGGTTTACAGTTGAGATCTCTTGTATAGACAGAAATGCTACACCCCGCTAATTCCTGTGGACGGTGTTTGTACGTGTATCGCTTGTATATTATCTACTAGAGTTTAGAGGAGATTACAATAATGCAGATTAACTGTTACAGGACTATATGGAAGCATTGAATTAGACATTCAGTACTGCAGTAGTGACGTATTGGTGTGTACTGCTCAAGTATCAAAATGAATCCTATCATATTGGCATTTATTCAAGATCTGCTTTCTTCTTGAAATCCAACAAGCTATTATGACAAAAGGGATTAATAATGAGTTACCTAACCATAAAATTCCTCTATAGTAGACTCCGGCTAAAATGACGTCAATCTAGCCTTGCAGACAAGTGACATAGTATGTTTTATTTCATCTCCTTTAGATTTTTTTTTAACTGGTAAATTAATTTTAATTTTCCTCTCATGTTACATCAGCCTTGAATGACATATACAGCATACCTATATGTTTATTTCTTTTTATCTACAAATAGAGACAATGAAATTGACATGGTTTTTACACTTACGCATTAATTCTATATTTTGTTTTAAGTATCTAATATTAGGTTATAGGAATACCAATTTCCATCCAACACACTAGAAAGTTCTTCCGTAAGATTAGTTGAACTGTAGGTGAATAAAAAGGACCGTAACTGCAACAATGCCTAATACAGTTAATGTGCTATAATTTAACAAGTACTGAAAGTGCTGCCATATTCATACTTGAATCATCTCTATACTGTATCTTAGTGCACAATATTATTTTTTCTAATATAAAAGACAAACATTTACAAAGAAATATTCAGAGACAATGTTTTGCTGGTGCATTTATGAAGAAAACGCTGAAGTAATGGACTATGGGTAGGTCTGAAGCATTCCACAGAATTGGATGTTGATCTTAGATAGCCAGGCTATGGGTATTCTGATAAGCTACTTGACAGATGAGAACAATGTGAGAAGTGCAAAAGCCACCAGGTGCTCTGCAGAGTTCCTCGAAGGAAGTAGCAAGTAGGATCATATTAGTATTTCAGGTGCACTGCATGTACCCACATGTACAGCTTTTCAAGGTAGTCACATATTTTCAGGGTAGTTACACCAAACTGGCCCGTAGACTGTGTCCTTGAAGTGAGATTTCTCATTTAAAACACGGGTAGCTTACCTTGCAATTACTTATACTAAAGGACCCAGTCTTGATAAGACTTGGCATTACAGCAATGGTTCGGAAAGATTTATGTAGTAAAGACAAAAACAGCTGATACCAAAGCCAAGTCTCACCACGAACAGGGGAGCATGCGTCAAATTAACTCATGAATACCAATCATTGCTATATCCAAATTTGCAAATAGATTAATTCTAGCAGGCAACATTAAACTGGGCTAACACATAGAATGAATGAGTATTAATGACAATTCAATACCACGTAAAATGCCAAGCGTGGAAGCAAAATAAATTTTAAAAGTTAATTTCTTTTTCCATCGAATGGTTAGTTAAATAAAACAATCAATAAAGTATATAAAAATACAATTTAAACGGTGCAGGCTATACTCCTTCCCACACATTTTACAGCAATGAATTTCTGGGGAGTATTGATTGTCATCAGAATCAACTTTCTTAGTGACAAGAAGAAACACACACAATTAATATATAGTTTGATCAATACCTTTCCACCTGATTTACCTAAGTTTGTCTCTAGAATGAACAGTTCCTACTGGTGAGTTGTCGCACATAATCAATAAACACCTTTTTTGGCATCCAACAACAATCAATTATCAATTAAGATACTAAAAGCCAACAAGGTGAACATGTCCATTATAGCATACATTTGTAGTAAGCTAGTGTCGTTTAGATACAGGAGATGGTATGAGAGAAATCACAGCCTACATTATATCCTGTATGTTATATATCCAGCCTTACCTGTTAGCCAGCCACTAGGAAGTCAGAACATCCATAGTTACTGTCCACTTTATCTTATCATATACTCCAGCAATATTAACCCTTTTACGTATGCTACTATTCCATTCTTTGCCAGTGTGAGCTCAAGAAATTCCACCGTTTTTACATAAATTGATTACAAGCAATCCCAATCCTTCATCTAAGTATAGCCAACCAGCATGGCTCTGGCGTAGTGTTGCTATTTCTGGCTCAATAGTACTCAGCTGTAGTGTCTTGACGTCAGATTCTCACGCATCAAAAGAGGCCTCCCCGTGATAAAACACATGCTCAATGACGCAAACTGCATTCATTGCATGTTGGCTGGAACTGTATGTACGTACAAACAGTAGTTTTGGTGTCTATCAACAGTAAATAGAACACTATTCCTTAAAAAGTGAAACTCTTTCCAAAGCACCAATACTGACAATAGCTATAGGATGTTTGTCCTGTTTTTTCACATGTCACCTGGACAAGCTTTACTGATTTTGAAACTTAACAAAAACATTTGCTTACATTAAAACCCTGACTGGTTAGAAAAGTCGCTGTGCTATATAAGGACAGTATTCTATGATACGTACTTACTCTAGTACGGAAGTAGTCATGTGTAGTAGTGAATACACACATACACTTTCAGTTTGTTTATTTAACCTCTTTAAGGACAGCACAAACCACCCGAGAGTCAGAATAATGACTTTGTACTTTGTATTCATGATATGTCCAAATTTCATGATATCTTTAGTAGTTGATTTTTTTTTTTTTTTTTTAATTCTTTTACTCAGCTGTAGTGTAATTTTGTAACTGCAGATATTTTTAACAAAACTGTTAATTACATGAAGACACATAAAACATTTTTTCATTCCATCTAAATGCACTTAAAAACCTATTCATATGAGTTTGCCCCTTTTGTACTTGATGTTTCCAAAAACAGTTATTGCGCAGCAGCAGTATCATATTACCTTCAACTTTAGTCTAATGTGGGAAAATTCCAGCTGTTCATTCACTAAACTTAATCCTTGTATACAAACAGCAGTTGTAGTAGTAGCAGTAATACATATGGAGTAAATGCAATTTTTGAAAAGCTGATGCTATGATAGTGTAACTAAGGTAGCTAAATCTTGAAATATGAATATTTCAACAGTCTGAGGCTAGCTGTCATAGAGATTTATGATGAGGTCAGAAAAGGGATAAATGTGTTAGACATATAAGAACCCAGATTTATGTAGTATATGGCTGATAAATGAGACATAATTAAAAATGACAAGAAAAATTGTGTATGTTACCATATTTGACGATTTTTGTTAACCTTATTCTTTCTTATTATTCTAATCATTTGTGATCTGTCTGGATTTAGTGGGAAATTTTGCTCACAACTTAAGATTAACTTGAACGTTAATTACATGTACCTCATAATATATGTACATTTTAATTACACTTGTACGTATCAGTATATCACAATTCAGGATTTATACATGAACCTCGCCCATTCTAAATACATACAAATATGCAAGCAACCATTAAAATCCAAAGTCACAAGATCATTCCCATGTGTGACATCTTTACAATATACATGAGGATAATACTCCAAACCTACTACTCTGATATCTCATTCAGTATTTTACACAAAGAGAATTTTCCCTTACACAAATGAAAAATGAATTATAAAGAGTTTTCTGGCTTAGAACTAACTTCTCCTGCCAGGTATTCATCTTTTCTCATAATACTGTGCAATTGCATTACTGGGTGAAAAAACGGGTTTTGTAATGTATATTATAGTAGATAGATCCAGGGTTTGACTTATTGGAACATTACATCAACACTTTTGAAGATATAATAAATTATTTACCGGGAGGAGGAGATGGTCAGCGAATAGCTGAGAATTTCCAACATGTTAGGAAAGTGTTTCACTTCTCGAACTATATATAGGAAACATCAGTCAGAAGAATAACTACCCTTTTAATCATATACTGGTAAATAAAGCAAGGTTTCCTCAGTTTTGGATCTTTGAGAAACAGGAAATGATTATTGATCTACAGTGTGGGATCCCGGGAAATGGGTAAAGGTTATGGTTCTACAGTGTGGGATCTCTATGAACCAGGTAATGATAATGGTTCTACAGTGTGGGGTCTCTGGGAACCAAGTAATGATAATGGTTCTACAGTGTGGGGTTTGTAGGAACCAGGTAATGAGTTTAGTTCTACAGTTTGAGATCTCTGGGAAACATGTTGTGATCATGGTTCTACAGTGTAGGATCAGCAGATGTGTTCTGCTCACTAAGAACCACTTTACTAAGGACAATGTCAATCTAACAAGTGTGGACTTCCTCAGATACTCAGCAAAGTAAATATGACCTACTATCACTATATCCTACTGTATCTAGCTCTGTCAATACCTGATAAACTAACACTGTCCAAAGATTGGGCCTCGTTAATCCGTTCAGCATTTAGAATGGCTAAACAACACTAAAATTTGGGTCATTAATGCATATAGTCTTTAAAATAGCAACTCCCATACAGCATTCTAAAAAGTTTGACTTAAGAGTTTAATTTATACCTAAAAAGCATTTATGATATCAAAATTGTCAGAAACAATTCTGTTATAACATATATGGAAAACATTTCTGATGATTCAGCTAATCCACTGTTGCTCTCCTGCAGATATATACATGTGTAATCTGTCTGGACAATATTCTTATCACCCAACTAAATTAAGCTATTGTGGCATTTATTTCCTGTAAGCTATGGTTGTCATAATGCTACAATGCATGTGTCTTTCAATACTAACTGCAATGAAAACTTATCATTAGCATTACATATCATACAATACCCCTTGTATGTCACTACACAACATTTAAGGATACAAGTAATAAGCACAGCCCAAATCTATGATAAAAGTTATCATTAGCATAGCCCCAGTATGTGATAAATGATGTCATGACTGATTAGCACATTCCTAATCTATGATAAGTGTTGTCATGATAAGCATAGCCCCAGTCTATGATAAATGTTATCATTAGCATAGCCCCAGTATGTGATAAATGATGTCATGACTAATTAGCACATTCCAAATCTATGATAAGTGTTGTCATGATAAGCATAGCCCCAGTCTATGATAAAATGTTGTCATGATCAGCATAGCCCCAGTCTATGATAAATGTTATCATTAGCATAGCCCCAGTATGTGATAAATGATGTCATGACTGATTAGCACATTTCTAATCAATGATAAATGTTGCCACAGCTTGAATCTTTGGTAAATCTAGGATGAATATTGTCAATATCAGCAAAAATAAGCCTAATATGACCTTGAACTTCACCTCGAAACTCTAAAACACAAAGCCATGCAAGATATAGTTACATTTAACCATAGCTTTTATCAAACATACTTAAGAAACAAAGTTATATTGATTTGGATGGGACAAGATATGACAAAGCGGTCAAAGGTTTCCATCCCTGTTAAAACTGTTTCTCATTCGACAATCTGTATGTTGTGTAGTCATAATAGCAATGGTTGTAAATATGCAAAGTTCACTCTGAAAATCACTTCCTCTATACAAATGGCATGAGTATAAATTAGACAGGATGCACAATTTTAAGCAACTCATATCCTGTTTTATTTAATTTTCATTTTTTCAACTGCAGTATATATGATAAAATCTTCCAGATTAATTAAAATTTCAGACAATGCTCCAACATGTCATTTAAAACTCATTTCATTTGGCAACCAAATTAGCAATGATTATGCATTTATCAAATGTTCAAGAACATCAGATAAGGTAACCTATTAATGAAAGCCAGACATATTGAACAACAAATGAAATAAAAACATGTACAAAGACAGACTCAAATGACTACCCTTTTATTTCAAATTACTATGAAGTTTGGTTCATTTCCAGCTGTAGTTTACACAGAATTAAATCAATAAAAGCTGAAAAAATACAATCATACATTGCACTACTCAAAATGTTCAAAGCCTCATCATGTGGATCAATAATAATTTTAATCTACCATATTTCCTTTTTATAACTGGAGACATTATTCTAATGAAAAATTGAAACTATGTGAATTAATGCAGTCTAACAATAGAAAATGTCTGGAAGACGTGAATTTTTTCGCTCCTTAAAAATTACTCTCTATATTTGACAAGACTCTATAAAACAGAAACTGTGACCTTGACCTAAAAACTCTGAAGCACAAGTGATAAAGCTTAGGGTAGCTGATATTTGTATAAATTTTTATCACAATCCCCAGTTGCTAGAGTGATGTCAGCAGAACGAGAGGAGATGCAACATGACAGGACAAACATACATGTAGGTAACACCGCAAGTCATAAAATGTGCAGTGTCATAAAATTGATCAAGTGGGATACAAGAATTTTTCAGCGACATTCCACCATCTGAAGAGTTACATTTGAATACTTGCAATCAGACAAAATTTTTAGTCTCCTCTCAATAATTATTGTAAATAAATAACTCTTTTCTTTCCATGTAATGATTGGCAATGATTCCTTCTTCCTGCACTTTTATCAAAACTCCATCAAAGCATTAAAAACATGTATAAACATGCCCAAGGTTCCGTGACCACTGTCCATATTTAGTTCAAGATATGAGTTCTCAAAGGAAGTTTCTAAAGAAAAAATACTCATTACATAATTAAGCATCATCACAGAAGGCAGGTGCTCCATTAAAAATAAAAGACAGGCAGTTTACAGGAATTTCAAACGCTATAAACTATCAGGTCGTCAGACCCCCTGTCTTACCATATCTACCCTGCTATCTAATCAATGTCAAACCTAAACCAAAGATTTGTTGTAGAGTGGTGACCTTCTATAGTAAAGCCTGGGGTCCACAGCTCATTTACAACATAGGCAGCCTCGGTATAATGTTAACTAAATTTGATAGAGACATATTGACAAGCAATGCTTTCTATTTTTGTAAAATGGTGCTTGTATAAGAAAATTTTTGTTCAGTTTTTGTTTTCTAGTGGCTTATTACACTGACAAATGCCAAATCAATACGCTGTCCAACTTGAAAATGCCAACGGAGGTTAGGTGAGCTAGCGAGCAGCCGATCAATCGTCTGCAATATACCGCATCGAGATAGAATGCAAACTCAATCCAATCTATGGATCCTAACACAAATCAAGAGAAACAGCCCAAAAGAACTGTACTTTCTAG